AATATATTTATTTTTTAACGTTAAAGTTACAGGATTAATAAAAGGCATAGAGAAATAAAACGCTGTCGTATATAAATCAGATTGCTTTAATTTATTTAATAGTTTTTATACAAATCGAATGCTACTTACGATAATAAATTTATTAACGAATAACACTTTTATTACACTCGTCTCGTTTAAATACAATATTTTACATTTTCACACCACCATGTATGTATTCATTAAGGTTTTAATTTATTTATTAATGCATAACCTCCGTGGAGGCTTTCAGTTAAAACTTACATTAGAATCGATTTAAATATTTACTTTGCAGTCATATTTTATTTTATTATTGATTTTATCTACTGTTTAGCTGCAGGAACACAGTGTGGATCAATAAATTAATTGTTTCATAAAAAATATATGTAATGTTATGTAGGTACTATGAATCTAAAAGAGTTTTTTTTTTTCTTTCATAAACACAAAGATTATATTATGACAGAATTTAAACATCAAAATTCAAAGTGCCATGGCAGTGAGATTCAGAATGGCCGATAAATAGACAATTTATAATATAATCTGTTTTTTGCGTATTTCCATTGCAAAAAAAATGGAATTGTAATAAACAATTCTGGTCAAATATTTTAACCAAAATCCATTTCCCGAAATAATTATTCACACATCAAAAAACGTTTTGGGCATGAAGGAAGAAAAATTTCAGACAAAACTTGTAATATTGAAACACTAGATTTTAGTCTAAATTCGGAAGATTATATTGTTTTAGGAAATATACAAGAATAAAGATGAAGCAAGTAGAGTGAGTCGGAATCTTATTAGTATATAAATGCACAATATTTGACGATCAGTGATTAAAAAAATTTTAATTTGTTATCAGTGCGGCAGCATTTTTCACATAAAACAAAGCGCGACCTTAAAATCTAAAATTATAAAATTCAATAGTAAAACACTGACGATTCTAATTAATACTAATTAATTTGAGATTTTTTTTTTCATTTAATGTACTTACACAATGAAATTTAAAAATACCTGTCTCACGTTTAAAGCATTAGGTTACTGTTGTGCGGTGTGTTGTTGGAAACTTCTTGCGTGACGCTACATTGATCGGAAATCGAAATATAATTGGAAAAACTTCAATCATATCATTACGTTGAAACATATTTACGTAAAAACAATCGAGAGCAAAACATCTGCGTAATATTTCAGGATTTTAGTTTGTAATGGATACAAAATTATATGACAAAAGCGCCTGTGTGGTATCCCTGATTTTTTTAATACCCCAAGTCTCAACAAACTGATCTTGTCTTAAAATACTTTTCATCTGAAATAAAACTGGTCATTGCCATAAAGCGTAATTAGTTGGTAAATTGTCACAAGAGAAACTAATTATCCATAAGTAATTTTAATATTATTAAGTTACAATAACCCTCTCTCGAATGTGCATACTAGGCCAAAGCCAAGTATTTGATGTGAAATAATCGCATCTGTGCAGTTTACATTACATTTACGTATTACATACGTATTACAAAAAGGTGTGTAAAATTGAGAGAATCAGTTAAATCTTAAAACTATTGTGCACGTCACGCAAAGAGTTTGAAAAGATATTAATTTATACCGATATATGCTTTACAAAGTGATTTAATAGGTTTAATAACTAGATTACTTAGTAAGAAATTTTGAAAGAACAGTATCAAAGCTAAATAGTGAAGCAAAATAGAAAATGACATTTAAATATGGCGCGCATTTAGTAATGCGAAGTCAATTGACCAACGTGACGATAGTAACATTCCAAAATGGCGGACACATTCGACTCATTCCTTTTTTTTATTATATCCACAGTAAATGTCATAATATGTAATGATAAAAAACGTAATTAATTCGCCTCTTTTATGGTTCACGTTTCGGCCTGAAACTGACCGCAATAGTATAAACGTCTAGGAAAAATGTGTCAAATCTCGCTTTTGTATTATTTTTGTCCACGAAATATTCCGACCCGTAAGTGTACGGCTTACCGAGAAGACAATAAATATACCCTATTTTAAGAGTTTTAATTAAAGTAAGAAATTAATGAAATAATTGTCAATTTCGCTTCAAATAATTTATTGTAAGACCGGTCCCAAGCATGCTTTATTAATTCCGATTTATTTCTAATATAATTTTAAAAGTAGACAAACTACTTTCATTTATTGTAAATTTAATATTTAAACATCGAATCGCTAACACGGATGCTACAATCGTTTCACAACCTTTTATTTATATACTTAATTTTATTTTTCAATTAAATGGCTGATCGGCCGTGCACGCAATCCGATATTCAATTAATATAAATCAACTAGTTCGTTTTATTGTAATAAAAATTCAATTTATTATTATTTTATACATTATTTTTATCATTTATATTTTATACCCCTATAAACCAACTTATTTATAGATAGATTTATAAACGCTAAGTATGTTTTGTTTTGGCACTAATTAATTAATTTCCATTTTTATTTATTGCAACGTTAGCTGATCGTTAATTTATATCTGTTTAGTGGTATGAGAATGATGATAAAATTATTTTAACATGAACCATCAATTTCAGTACCACAGAGTTAAATTAAACTTGTTGACTTATAAATTGCGTTTTACATAATTTGAGTCTAAAATACAATTCCTCGTTCATTTCCATTAATAAATAAAGCAATATAAATAATGTAGGTAGTTGAAAATTTTTGTTTTGAATTTAATTTACTTGAATTGAATTAATTAAATTTAGATTTACTTTAAATTATTTTTTTGGTCTTAGATTTATTTTAAATGTTTTTTTTTTCTAAAGGAGACACATTTACTAAAACTATCACGACACCTATAGAATGAAAATGAAGAACGGAGAAAGATTATTATTTTAATTACTTTAATACATACACTAATGTATCTATATAATATATTTTGTAATATGTAATGCTATTTTTACATTGCTACAATATATTGTACTACGATATTTCGATATTTGTGATCACTCGAGTCTGTAATATTCAGTAGAGAAACATTATAAATTCTCCAGGTAAAAATGCTTCCGTTGATCATGGACATCAACAACCTCAGAGGCACAGCTAATTCACTAATTCCTGCTGTTCTAAAATCTGCACAATTACTTTAGAAATATGTTGTGGGGCTACGTGAAATTTCACCATCAAATACACATATGTATAAACGCACTGAAAGTTAAATTTGATTTGAATCATCATGATATCGTTAATCCATTTAAAATTACGAAATTTTTCAATACGTTCTTAAATGATTTCATATTCTTTTAAATCAAAACTGTTAACATAATGTTGTCTAAAAATAAATAAAGAAATATACCTGAGTATCTTTATTAACTTTTTTGAAAATTATACTTTTGGTTCTTTTAGATGTTTTGTTTGAATATAGCTATACCTCCTGGTGTTTTTTCACAATCGTCTCGAGCGATTACCGAACATTACAATTAGTGAGCTACCGGAAAGTGACTTATGCTTTACTTACCTAAATATTCATTAGTCTTTTTTTTTCAATTGATTTTATTTAATGTTCACGTGTTGGCGAAAATACAATATATGCGTTCTAAGGTGTACCGTGCGAAATTTAACAGATAATCTAATGAGCGTATTATTATTTTTTACACGACAGAGTATTACGGCTTTTGTTTCACCGTAATTGACTCATAAATCCATAGTAACTATTAGCCATTAATAGAGCCGGTCCGGTTTCTAAAAGATCTCTTCTTAAAGCGAGCATTGGAAGAGAGAGAAGAATCCGTAATTTTGGTTTCGTTAATAGATAATTTTGTATTCGTATTTTTCAAGTTGCCAATAGTTGGCGGGCTCTAGGACTACAGTGCCTCATATCTCGCAACTAGATCTCGCTGGGCTGGTAATAGCCTAAATTTTGCATCCGAAGTAATACATGTGTACGACAATAAGGTTGGCACTCTCGACATACTCCTAACAGGATATCAAACACGAGCTAACAGGTTCGAAGTCGTGCTCTATAAAAACTGGCTAAACAACATTGATTCTAAGACATACGAAATCGATAACAGTACAAATCGATTAAATGTGGCTATTTTCCAATAATTAGCAATTCGTTTTTTTATTATTATTAAACTAGATAAAAACTTTTCGGTTATCTCTCATTCTCATTATTTTACACTAATTATTAAATATATGTATTATTATTCTTATGAATTATTTTAAGTCAATATCTCGACACAACCTCACTAAATATTTTTAAAAGTTTGGTTCCATTAAATTGTTGATTTATCAATTCCCCACAATTCCAAAGATTAAAATAAAACGCGTTTATCAACAAATCAGACAATTTGAAGGCTGGCAACATTATTACGTCAGAAGGGCTGGTATATTTGTTACATGTGGAAAAGTCAAAGTTTTTAGTTACGTCACTCCACGAACTAGCTCATTAGGAATCCCAAAAATAGATGGTAACCTTAAAGACATGCAGTAGTTTCAATTTTATAGGAGAAACGGTTCACCTACCCAATTTTACCTCGTATCAAATCCGTGAACGAATTCATGAAATTATAAATGAATAAAATGAATTAAAATCCCTTATCGCGTGCCAAAACCATTCTGCACTCACCCGATGTTCCTAAGATATTATTGATCCTTTATTAGTTACATGTCACTTACGCATAATGAAAAGTGATCTCTTTATCAACACGTCTCTCAATATTATAGACAGCTCTTACATACCATTACACACGTTATGGAAAAAATTACAGGAAAGTTAGGTACATTTTGTTAAATTTTTGGCTCGTGTGGGAACAAATACGTTTGTTTATGTGCTTAAAACTTGAACACACGCAATATCTAAAAAATATTTGTAGCCGGGCCTAAATTTTGACACTGTCAAAGCTTGATTTCATTTTATATTCCTATAGTTTTTCTGAGTTGAGGAATTTCTGTCCTGTTTGCTATTTGTCCAAGTTATAAATTCGTGGACTGATTTTTCTGCTTTTATCTCAGAAGCCTTCGACGCAACGACGAAACCAGCTTCAAATACTTCACCATCGAATCTTAAAACTTTTTATATTATCATTTTTTTTTTAATTAATTAATAAATTACATATTTCAATATTTAATCAGATTAACATCACAATTGTTTTACAATAACATTTATATGGCTTAACTAATTATTTCTTTTTAGTTACATATAATGTATTTCCATGTCATTTACCGTCTTGCGACTTAGGTTCTATATACACAGACCCTATCTGTAAGTTAAAACTTGCGTTAAACAAACTATTACCGGAACGGCATAATCTAAACTATTTTACTGGTTCGCTTCGGCATACCAACGACCCCGGTTGAGTGCTGACAAGTGTACCCTCACTTAGCTAAGTTATCATTACCGACCAAATTCCGAAGTTTCTTTACAGTTTATTGAACTCATTCATCTGCTGACAATATTGAAAGAAAAATTGACGAACACACACTTGTAGTGATTAACCATTTTGGTTAAATTATCCCAATGAGTGAATCTTATTAATCTTAGTAATCGGTACTATAGTGTCTAAAGAAACCTCCTCCCATGAAGAGGAAACCTTCTGAAATTTAATAAATAGTTTAGATTACACAGAGGAACAGTACCCAAATCGCATAATTACTGACAATATTAGTGACACGTTTAAAATTAAATTAATTAATATAAATTACAGTACCTTAATTTCGTTTAAAATTAGTTCTCTCATACTATAAGTGAGCATGCACATGAGCACGGTACCGTCTCACTGCACGATGATATGCGGCGCCGACAACAGCACGGCCACCGTCGCTATTATCGTGAACAACGTGAACACGAACAAGCAAAACCTGCGAGATAAATAACATTTTGAAGTCGTCGTGGCCTAAAGGATAAGACGTCCGGTGCATTCGTATGTAGCGATGCACCGGCGTTCGAATCTCGCCGGCGGGTACCAATTTTTCCAATGAAATACGTACTTAACAAATGTTAACGATTGACTTCCACGGTGAAGGAATAACATTACTGGTTGGTACATTATTACTGGTAGTAGGACCTCTTGTGAGTCCGCACGGGTAGGTACCACCACCCTGCCTATTTCTGCCGTGAAGCAGTAATGCGTTTCGGTTTGAAGGGCGAAGCAGCCGTTGTAGCTATACTGAGACCTTAGAACTTATATCTCAGGGTGGGTAGCGCATTTACGTTGTAAATGTCTATGGGCTCCAGTAACCACTTAATACCAGGTGGGCTGTGACCTCGTCCACCCATCTAAGCAATAAAAAAAAAATTAAAACAAATTTCAAAAAAACTATAACAAGTTGTTTTTTTACTGGTCGATTCTTCTCGATCGTGGGACTGATTCAAGCGAGACCACATCCGAGATAAAATACGTATAATAACTAGTAAAGAAGAAAAGTCCCCGTGTTGATAGACAATAAGCTATTAATCATTACACGAGCAGAATTTTTTATTACATTTCGTTAAACCGCAACACGTCAATGGACACGCAACAATGGGTATTTTTAATTACTAACAATCTTGAAGTATTCACCTGTCCACTACCATTGCAGCGAATTTCCAGTCGCTGATCAGCTCGGCCTCCTCATCGGCCTTCTTCATCCTGGCCGTGATGAACTGGAGTTCGCGCAGGATGAGATGCAGCTCCCTGTGGTGGCTACTGAGCCCTCCGCCCACGTCCTCCATCGTCGAAGGGCGGACGAACGAACGCCGAAAGTCCGTTCTAAATATTGAGCAACTGAATAAAAGAACGTGTTCACATTAAGAAATTAAGAAGTCGTCGTGGCCTAACGGATAAGACGTCCGATGCAATCGCGTTGAGCTATGCACCGGTGGTGGGTACCACCACCCCGCCTGTTTCTGCCGTGAAGCAGTAATGCGTTTCGGTTTGAAGGATGGGGCAGCCGTTGTAACTATACTGAGACCTTAGAACTTATATCTCAAGGTGGGTGGCGCATTTACGTTATAGATGTATATGGGCTCCGGTAACCACTTAGCACGAGGTGGGCTGTGAGCTCGTCCACACATATAAGCAATAATAAAATTAAAAAATTCACCTTGGAAATCCAAGTCCAACGCTCTAGCACAACCGGCTAAAACTAGAAGCGTCATAGTGTTATTACGTTATGCGGGTATCCGCAGAACAAAATCTGTGCGAATTTGGTCTCGCCATTTTGAATTATACATTTGCTGTATAGGTTAAATAATAAGAACCCGCTTACTTTGTTGCAACACAATCGTAAAAATTGTATTAGACCGCTATGCTTTGAGTATCTGGCGTAGCACTCAATAAAAAAAGTGTGTGTCTGTGCAAGTCACACACAGTAGAAGTGAAACTTATAAAATATAAAAATAGTCGCAAGGGTCAACCACTCCGCAGTGCAATAGAGCAGCCGCACCCCGGGGGAACCGCCTGCATGATCACGGTAACCCGACGCCAGGTAGGTATGATTTAGCAAGAGAAATACGAGAACGTCTATCAACTGTGTAACATCTCGTCACCGCGATTCAGGAATTGTTGAATTTACATGCAGCGACATTGGTTGATAACAAACTAAATAGAAATAAAATAAACATGGCGCGTAACGGAAGAAATTAAGATGGCGCGTAACCGAAAAACGTTACATACATTTTTTCCTCCCTACGTCGATAAAGAAGTTTCACTTCAATAAATAATAGGTTCGACCCTGGACAAGGATGTGTGGTATGGGATGCCTTTCGAAGCTAGATACTCACCCAGGCCCCAAGTTGCCTGTAGAAGCAGTACTGTTCGGCGGGGGCGGGGCATGTCTAAAGTCGTCATCTATATCCAGCACGTTGGCCAAAAGCGACTTAGACGAACGTTCTTTTAGCTCCAACTCCCGCATCCTGTTGGACATCATGATGGTCTTCCTCGTGATCTTCTTACCCGGCCTGGACATACGCAGAATCCAGGGCAGCCATTGGAGGAACACAGTCTTTATCTGTCCAATAAATAAAGTGAATCAGAACAAAAATGAGATGCAATTGAAAAGGTAACTTTAATGGTAGGCATCGGCTTGGCTCTGCCCCAGGTATTGCTGAAATCCATGGGCGACGGTAACCACTCACCGTCAGGTGGGCCGTATGCTCGTTTGCCTACAAGGGCAATAAAAAAATATATGTACAATGACGTCGAGCAGAAAGCTAGGTCAAATTAAAATGGACCTGTGGAGGGTAGCCATCAGACAACACAAGATATTTGACAGATACTTGAATCTCGCTTACGACATTTTCAAGATAAGCTTGCCTAATAACAAGTTCAGAACAACAACATTCGGGCTGTCGGTCTACCGAGCAATATCACCCGCTCGGTGGAATATCTTCCCTTTGTTGTATACCTCTACAGACCGCTATGGACAACGTAACGATAAGTCGCGATCGTTTTAAAATCTATAAACTGCAAACACGAGTTTTTAAAATCATCGATTTTGTCTCCACATTAAAGACATTCGTGAATGCCGTAGATATCACCATCTTGTATATTTTTGCCGCAAACGCGATCCGGTTTGAAGAACGATACAGCTGCTACACAATTAATGTCTCAAGGGTCAAGATAATTCGTTCTCAAGTAAATAGTGATGCTACGTAAGCTAAATCATATACAATGGCCATAAGCACTAAAATTACCCATTGTGGCATCTCGTGGATGTCAGCCGTGCGATGATGGTAGTTCAACACCACAACGGTGAGCACCACAGACGAAGCCACCATGAACATAATACAGTTGAAATATGTACCTGCCATCATATTACGGATTTTATATACATTACTGCTTTCACACAGGATGTAAAGAACCAATCCCGAATCCTGAACAGTAATTACTATACAAACTCAACATAAATAAAATACAAATCATTTGCTAAGTTAAACATAAGTACTGATCATTTTACAAAGTTATAACTTATCATTTTCGTGAACACGCAATGTATACCAAAGAAGCGAAGAAATCATCGAACTCTTGTGCCAGTTGATCTTTTATTGCACACAATTGCGCAAATAATATTGGTTTATTAATCGTTAATGTTATAGTCAGTGACCAGTACTAACATTTTTAGTTTCGAGAATGGTTTCAATACACCCATGAATATTAATAAAATAACGGGAATTTGACATTTTGACACGGCTGCAAACGTTAGGTTTCTGTGAGAGGAAAACAAAGGCGATTAGTCTTACAAGAATCGTCCTGGGGGCCGTGTTCTTAAGCTTTATTTCCGGGAATTGAAATAAAAAATTTCGGTATATATTCTCTGATTCAGAAACACAATTAAAACATTTACAGCCGGGACAAATAGCTGTAATAAATAATAAAAAAAATAAAAGTTGAAAATGAAAAGATTAAGTTGAAATCACATTAATTTAATATGTAGAATCTGAAGTTATATTTAATTTTGCGGGTAATAAAATAATGTTTATTTATAACATTAAAAATGTATTAAGCACTTGAGAATTACTTTACTTCATTTAGGTATAGAACTATTTAAGCTATGGATTTAATAAGTTTCTTAATCCTAAGGATGATTTAAAGAAAAAGCAAGGAGGAAATTAAGTACTCTTCTTATTTAAATTTATTGAAAACATAAGTTTGTTAATCTAATTTACAATTTACACAAAAGACACAGTGTACATTTTAGTTAAAACATGCCATCACACTAATGCTACACATATGTACATACATTAAATAAGGCATGAATACACTACAAACATGCGTCATACATTTAATTTTTAAACTGAAAATTGTATTGTCACAAACATCCATTCTAAGCATATTGACCACATATTGACTTATAAAGTCAGCTATATCAAATCAAAATGTCGTGTGTCAAAACAAGTATCACTAAGCCTTTAAGCCTTTTTGGAATACATTTTTTGTGCATACAACCTTTTGATATTTTAATGAGGAAAACACGGGAAATACAATTTTTTTTTTTCAATAAAAATATTGTGATCTGGGTATAAAATGGATATTGTATTTCATAATCTTCATTCTATAACTTTAAATTTTCAGTTAATATTTACAGAAATATTTTCAAAGGAACGGTTTTCCTAAACTTAGTGACGTATAACGTAACAAATGGGGTACGATTCTAACTGAACTGGATTGCGCTATAGATCTTAGTAATCCTCTCATTGGCAGACAAGCGAATTGCTACCATCCAACATAAAAACACTGCTGATGATCTGCGACATGTGACCGACCAATTACGAATATTTTACATGACTTTCAGAAACAAACTAAAAAAGTTTTACTTCGAGCATTGGGCATTGCAACTTTAACGCCTCCATGTGGACTAAAGCACGATGAATTCAACTCAAAGGAAAGCTAAAAGGAGTTGGTCAAAAATAATGAATGAAAAATGCAGCATGACATATACGCCCGGATGAATTTACAGCATAGGAACGTACATAATTGAAAAAAGTTAAACTCATAATTTAATGTCAGCGGTGTTCACATAATGATTTACATGAGCTACAGTACCCACAAACACCGGTTGTAGCTTGCCTGCCCAGCAGTAATAAGTCACTTTTTGGGAGATTAAAACCCTGAATACAAAATTGCAATCAATGTCTTCGGCACATCGAAGCAATGTTTTAATACGAGCCGCAAGACATCCCGGGTTGCAACATATGAGTGCTCTGATTCAAGACAACACTACATTGAGGCAATACTTATGGAAACATATCGAAACCTCAAGCGAGTCTTCGAAATGTCATGCTAAATACTAAAAGTAAAACGGCATCAATCCTGTTGCGCGTATATTCCTTAAACACACGACACGACAGTTAATAAGCTTATATAATTACCTTAAACCGGCATTCCTTTGACAATGTTTCAACAAGTCAATAACAGTGTTTGTAACAGATCGGATCGAGATCAAAGTTCACGAGATACTTGGAGGCTGGAAGCTACCCGCATCCTCTTTGTGAAACACTTGTTTAACTTTACAGTCCTTTAAACTACAAGCATTAACATGTTATATTATTGTATAATTCATTTAATGTGGACAGATATGCGTTATTCTCGTTTATTTATTGGTAGATATAAATCATGCTTCAAGCCGACACCAGTGTAGTCGCTTGTACTACGATCCCAAGCCAATTTAGAAGAAGTTAGAACGAAATTTCAAAGGAAATTCATAGGAATATCTTAAGACATTACAAGAAGACCGAACGCCAGTAAAATATGATTACCTTCTGAGCTTTTTGTACTGTTTTAAAACAGCTATGCATTTTCTAACTTGAATTTCAAAGTGCAATAGCTCTAACTCAAGTGTCGATAGGGCCGACATTAGCCGTAAAGCATAGCAGTTCTTCGGAAAATGGCGAGACTCTAAAATGCAAATCGAGAACAGAAAAAAGTAGAAGATCTATAAAGTTTTCGTTTTTAATTTATAACAAAGAGATCAAGCGAAAAACTTGGGTATTAATTAAGATCTTTCTTAAGCTGGTGTTTGAAGAATGTTCAGAGGAATATTTTGTTTTTGTATAAATCATTCAAGCCTCTAATAAAATATTCCTCGTATCGCATTCAATATTTTTAATATCTATTACGTTTTATTTAGTTATCTTTATTAGTTTAATTTTCGTCAACGACATTATTTTCATATACGCGTCTTCCTCACCTATTAGCGGGATAGCCTCTGATGTTTTAGTGATGACGTGTCCCACCAATAGAGAGAAAACGGTTTGCGACAGGAGAATCGTAACACCTGCAAAGATCAATATAATATTCTATGAAACTAAAACAGAACAATCTAACATTGGACCTAATGAAGGTGTCTCGCTACACCTCGGCATATCCTTCCTGTGTGCAGTCGGTTGGGGCTCAAGTGAAAATAATAAACAGAACAAAACGGACAGACATGCAAACTAGTTAGTTGAAGGATTTTACTGGCTTTTGTTTAATACTGAATTTCACGGGAAGGGTACATATTTAGTTTTTGTGCTTTTAATATCTGCATCACCCTCCAAGTATCTTAACTTCGCAGCTTTTTCAGTCGAGAATATGAAATCATGAAGCAGTCACATTTATAACACCGAAACACTGAACACTCATGGAATCGATTACGCTTCAAACAATACATTAATAAATGAAATATACAGACATTTATGTACAAAAAATTTTGAACTTACCTGCAGGATCCATTTTAACACTATTCTTCAAATTAAAACACATTTTGGACTAGTTAACACGGTTCTTGATCACGGTGAAAAAACTTTATTACATACTAGCTGACCCGGCAGACATCGTAGTGCCTCAATCGATAAATAAAAGACCTAAACTTTTGAATAAAATGAAATGACAAACAAACGGAATCCGTCCGACGGGGGACACATCAAAGGGAAAACAAAATTGTTATTTTTATTTAATTCAGAGCACTTCCATATTTCTCTAAACCTTTTAAACCTTCTCTGGACTTCCACAAATAATTCAAGACCAAAATTAGCCAAATCGGTCCAGCCGTTCTCGAGTTTTAGCGAGACTAACGAACAGCAATTCATTTATATATAGATATATAGAAGAAGATTTATTTTTTAATTCTTAATATCTCGAACGTCTCCCTGATCGTTTAATCTCGTACCAATGTTCTAATAGTTTAGACAGACATTTATGACCAAGGTGAATACTTAAAATTACTCAAAAAACAGGTAAAAGTGTTTTTAGTCGTAAGTTTGAAGGGTGGGGCAGCCGTTGTGACTATACTGAGACCTTAGAACTATATCTCAAGGTGTGTGGCGCATTTACGTTGTAGATGTCTATGGGCTCCAGTAACCACTTAACATCAGGTGGGCTGTGAGCTCGTCCACACATCTAAGCAATAAAAAAAAAAAAAAAAAAAAAAAAAATATTTGTAAAGTTTTTTCCGAGCTTAGTCCTCAAAAATCGATATCATTTAAAGCTTCCGGAACGAATACTGATAGGTTGACCATTCTTAAGGTTCTTATTATTGTTTTTTTCTTTTCATTCAAATAGTAACAAACCTTATTTCATAGCATTTAAACTTCCAATTGTCACGCCCCATTTAATGTCAGTTTGATAAAATATCCATTTGGCATATTTTTATGTTACTACTTTTCTTAAGTTAGTGTACCAAAATAGTGCAAAATTTAATAACTTTTCATTATATACCTGCCTGCTTGTAGGCACGTACCTGCCTATTGATGGAAGCACATTATTCATATTGTGTTATCGAACATTGTGTTTTTGTCGAATTAAAATAAAAAATATGTATAAATTTACATACAAGCTTTCAATATTATAAGTATAGCTTTTGTTTATTTGCCCTTTGTGTATTTTATATTTAACAAAAATCGCACTAAAAAAATATACTCCAATCGCATATCGGAGCTGACATATACAATGTTTTTTCCAAAACCACCGAGTTGCGCTGAAGTGTAATAAAGTTTTTTTTTTTTTCAAGAATAAGTTCCATTTTTTTGATACGCACTAGACGTGTTCAAACGCAGAGAAATTAAACATAAAATCATGCTCTACAATTTTTTGATTGTTATCGTAACATTAATTTGTATTACTGAAATTTGTGTAACGAAATCGCGAAATCGATTCCAAAATGTAAACTGTACAACAACAGATTTGAAACGTTTAAAGCAACTTCATACTTTAGCCATAATTAATAAAGACTCTAAACATTTAACAATTATTTTTAATCTAAATTTAAAGTACATAGTTTACTCCTTGTAACGTATTAAAATATTTTTAATAAATTAAATAAAAAGAAGAATGAAAAAGAGTGAATAAATAGGTAAAGAAGATGAAACAAAATATGTTTGTGTAGAAATGAAGTCAACAAAAAAAGCGGGATGGAAGATAAATGGTGGGGCTGAGGTGGGCAGTGTACCTAACAAGGGGATAGCATCGGACACCTGCGGCAGAGTTTCTGCCACCAGATTGAGAAACACCGTCAGCGACAGTAGTATAGTGACTCCTGCAATCAAAAACATTCATCAACGAGCTCGTTGTCAAGTGATTCAATTGTATGTTCATAGCTACCTGACCTCCTACTTCTCACCCTAATTCCTATCATGAATACTCGTGATAAGACGTCTCTATTTATCTCTAAAAGCAATAATATCCAGTTTGAAGTGAAGAATAGCCGTTTTTTATTGCCCACATTATCGGCATAAATAGTATTACCCACCTGCGATCTTAAATTTGTTGAAGACCTGTTGTCGTAAGCTAAACACTAAGCCAAATCATTTAATAAATTGAAGAATATTTTAGTTTGATCCAACTCTGAGCAGCATGAGGGCAGAAAGGTGGAGAGAAATCTAGACCGGTCAATACCTATAAGTATAGTCTTCGGGGAGTTAAGCTAGCACACAAACATTGATATAACCTTCTGGATATATTGTTATTGCGCACGTCGTTTCCGTGGCGATATGAAAGTTTTATTGTTGGTTCTCTCAATAAACGAACAGTATTGTTTGCTGTTAAAAAATTTCATTTTGGTTCTGATACAGAATTTGTTGAATAAATACTTTGCTATACTACGGTTATCATTGGGTAAGCTGCTTAAAATGGACACTAACATACCATTAGCAAGGACGTTACGTACAAAGACGCAAAATCTTTATTAATGATACAATTAAATAGACATTCTATGTTCAAGAACCTCTAACAAAATATCCATTAAATAAGATTGGGAAAATCCAAAATTTTGCCAGGCGTACAATGATAATTTATTTGTTGTAGTCTTAGCCATTTATGTTGAGTACGCTCTTATTCAGTTCGGAGGGTCTATTAGCTGTAATTAAACAGTAAAGTGTTTCTAATGAGCCTTGAGATCTTTGACTTAGATTGCGGCTATTATATTCAACGATTGCTATTGTACGCTTTTCACGATATAATTGCGATATTATTGGATATTTCTAACATTCTGGCTGCCTTTAAATTTGAGTCCTATTAACAGGCGAACAGATAGAAAGCTAATTTTTTTTGTTAGTATAGTGGAATATAATTATATTGCACAACAATTAACTACAACATTAATCTTGCAGAGTATGAGCGGGTAGTATTTATATCCACAAAACGGTACCAAATGGTTGCATGGATAAAATTTCACATAATGACTCTGTTGATTTCTTTGGACTCATCGATTTCACACAGGCATCTCAGTAAAGCGGTCGTCATCTCGAAACTAAGTACGCAAACGTGCAAAAATGGATTTTGTATTCCTAGAAATCAACTAGACGATTAACTTTTTAATTTCATCTTTGATTTTACCAAAAAAAATCGTATGACCAAAATGGTATAAATTTTCTTGTGGATCGTAAATAAATTTTTAACACGTTGTTTGTGCGAGCCTAGCGAAGAGCGACCTCCATCAATCATAGAAACAAAACTTGAATAGCGCCAATTCAAAATTCATAACACCTTCATAGCATTGACACCCTCCAATAAAACTGCTTTAAGAAAAAAAAAGCTTCTTGCCTTTGTAGGAAAAACCACCAAGCCGTCTTATTGAATAAAACGACAAATAATATATCACACTGCGGAATCTTCTATAAAAGCAATACAAATAGCTTTCAGTGTAATTAAAATTTCGGCTTCACATCTCAATATTCTATAGAGCCGTCCATTATGGCGTGCATGGGCTTCGGTAACTATTTAACTACAAGTTCGAATTTTGGTTTTCTTCCCTACTTCTACACCATTTTTTTCATTGTCATATCGCTCTTGTCAGAGCGGTCGTGTTCGTCAGTCGTTATCATTGCTGTAGGCAATTTCATATATACCATTACTATATCTTTATAATAATGTAAGGATTTAAATCGTATCTGAACCACTGGATCTATACTTAACATTCTTGTGTTAACCAAAAAATTTTTGTCCCTATACAACGCATATTTTGATAATCAAAAAGTACTTTCAATTTGTCATCTCAACATTGATTAGTTGCTCCTCTATGAACTTCAGCTAATACAAGGGCCATATATACTGACCGAGTGTCAATTTCTCCCCAGAATCTGGTGGTAGCGTGAAGCCTAGTAGCGCCATTGAGGATATCAGAACGCACGGCACGATGAGATTGAAGAAGTAGTACAGCGTTCTCCTCCTGATCATGATGGTGAAGGTGACGTCCACGTACGGCTCTGGGCAGCAAGCGTATGTAATTGTGTTCTTTTTGCCCGGCATTCCTGGGAAATGAAATGCAGAGATTTCATCCGTAGATAGTAATTTCCCGTACAGATAAATACCACATTCATTTTTTTGTTGCAAAGAACTCGTGCGTTCCAGTTTTAAGAGTAGAAGTGTATATATTATAGTAATTGTAAAGTAATCTAGATATCGACTTCAAATCTCCGGGATGGCAGTAGCTTCCGCGTCATGATCATTGTGATCTCTGGGTACCTTTAACTCTGGTGGGACCGAAACCTTGTCTGCATATAAAATTAAAAAGAAAACCTCTTTGTTACAAAGGTACATGCGGATTCACTTTTGATCGTCTCAGTGGCCTTACTAAAAATAACGTAACTTCAATTCCCCGTCAGAGTCAAGTATCTTTGTTATAACAAATTTGCTGGTCAGGGTCTGACTGTACTTATTTTGCCTCTGTAGGTTTCCGGCGTACCACGGACAAACATAACATTAATGTTTTTTTATTTTTTATTTATTGCTTAGATTGGTGGACGAGCTCACGGCCCACCTGGTGTTTGGTTACCGAGGCCCATAGACATCTACAACGTAAATACCGCCACCTACCTTGAGATATAAGTTATAAGGTCTCAGTATAGTTACAACGGCTGCCCCACCCTTCAAACCGAAACACAACTTCACGGCAGAAATAGGCAGGGTGGTGGTACCTACCCGCGCGGAATCACTAGAGGTCCTACCACCAGTAAAAATGTATGATATAGAATAAAACTATGTACCTTTATGATAATAATAATATAGCCTGAATACACGTATAAAAGTGTGTTATATACGGGGAAAGTAATTTTAGCTATAGCCACACGTGAACGGTGTCAAGGCTGATAGCGCAAGATGCCTGTCGAGCTCAGAACCGATCAAACGTGTGCACCCTTTAATAAACACGGCCGGGCGAAAAAGGTATCTCACATATCAAAGGCAAACAGGACGTTTATGGCAAGAGCACATTTTTGGGAACATCAAGTTGTTTTATTTTAAAGGATGGATCACTTTTGGAAACTAATCTTTTTTGATGGGGTTAAATTTGGACGTCAGGTGTTACTAAATTCGTGATCTATGGGTTTTAGATTCGTTTTATTTAGATCTTGGGTTATTTACTTGATATGGGGTTGAATTTTTTTTTTATTGCCCGAGCAGGCAGACGATAATACGGCCCACCTGATGGTAAGTGGTTACCGTCGCTCATGGACGTCAGTAATGCCAGGGGCAGAGCCAAGCCGCTGCCTACCGCTAAATCCATCTAGATATCGCTTTTTTTTTAATTGGCTTTAGGGAAACCACTCTTGATTTAGTGTCCACTTGAACCATATCACTAGGTTTTTTTGTCGTTTTGTTATTTATGTGATTTTTTCATCTTCAGTCCATATAGTTCCACTGCTGAACATAGGTCTCTCCCAAGATACACCATAATAACTGGTACTGCACAGCTTCCGCCCAGCGGAATCCCACTAACTTTAGTAGCTCGCCAATCCACCCACAGGAAGTCTACTCCTGCTGCGCAGTTCGGTACGCGGTCGCCATATCAGATTTATCAGATGTAAAAAGCTACCGTATGTAGAAGAGCTTAGAACACACCATTCATCACCATATACGCATCCGCGATGTACTAAACATGACCTCAGAAAATAAAACAGGCAACGGGACCATCTTAAAACAGCCGTCATAATCATCACAGTACATAATTAGGAGTTACTTGTTACAGCTAAGAATACATAATAATATTGACTGGTTTTTGGACTGGAAACTGGACTTATACTGGTGGTAGGACTTCTAGTGAGTTTGCGCGGGTATGTACCACCACCCTGTCTATTTCTGTCGTGAAGCAATAACGCGTTTCGGTTCGAAGGGTAGGGCAGCCGTTGTAACTATACTTGTGACCTTAGAACTTAGGTCTCAAGGTGGGTGGCGTATTTACGTTGTAGATGTCTATGGGCTCCAGTAACCACTTAACACCAGGTGGGCTGTGAGCTCGTCCACCCATATAAGCAATAAAAAAGTCACGTTTGCCTTTCAAACGTTGATATAGACTTACCTATTAAGTACCATTCTCCATTCGTGATGAAATCTGATAGGTCGCCACCGGCTTCGTCCTTCAAGATGAGGTCCAGCTGTCAGGGGAAACAGGATGAGCCCAGAACAAATGCACTAAAATATCTATAGGGAATCATGCAGGAAACATGCGGCCCTCCAGGCGGGTGGACACACGGGCACAGTGCGCTACTAAAGGACTTTCATGCTTGTATCTCACGGAACTGCCATACGAATTTTCAAAATGTAAACACTTAATGTAAAAAAAAATGCAGCCATGTTTTGAATTCGAAATAAAATATCTACGTGTGTAGTAATTAAGAATTGTAAAGTCAAAGCGAATCATATTTAACTACAGAAACAAAGAAGATGTTGTATTGAAAGCATGGATTAATTAAAAAATTTTGTATTTGCATGGATTAAATAAGAAAATAAAAATAAAAATTGTATGTTTGTATATTGTTTTGTATCTTATCTATGTTATGTATATATAATTATATGTAATGTTTACTGTATGCACTAGGTTTGTGTTCCTAATTCTTCTTTCCTTTTGCGGGCCTACTGGAAGAGATTTCAACATGAAATAACTAGTGGCCTTGTACTCTGTATCCTTATTGTCGTGTTTTTTCTAACAGCTGTGTGTGCAAAATATACAAAAAAAAAAAAAAAGTTTCGCACATAGAGCAAGCATTCGTATGAAGAATGAGTAGTAATCTTTGTCTGTGTGTTTCAGATCGAGGGGTGAAATGCTATTTGGCTTGAGCGACATTTTTACAACTTTACAAGTGAGCCATTCAAAGGTGAAACTTTGGGAAAAATATCATGACAAAAAACTTCTTCGGCTATTCGAATGAGGTAAACTTAATTGAAGTTCAATTAAATACACCGAATTGTTAATACTAATACCGAATAAAACCTTTAATTACAAAGATAAATGTCGCGTTTTAAGCGAATTGTCACTTAAACCAACTAATCTTTCACCCCGTGATATGATATAAGCATTTATTTAAACGTATATAAGCAGATATGTGCATATATCAGTCTCTGGTTTCCATAGTACGGACAATCCTATTTCGAGGCCAGATGATGGTGTGTGCTTATCCCCGACCATTTGTTATGTACCTATCAATAGATTACCATACATGAGTACTCGCGTTAAAGCTTAAATTTGCGTATATAAGACTTTTAGTATAATCTGAATAAGCTCTTACATCTCAGAATTGTGCCTTCGTATCAACAGCATATTTATTTAATCAACAATGTTTCAACAGCACTTAACTAGACACAGGGTACAGATGATGTTTTCACAAACATGAGCCAATTAAAGAAACACATTATGTTTCCAAAAAATGTTAACATGATTAATGAACACAGGTAGTCCAACTAAGGTAAAGGTAAGGCAATTAAATAGGTAGATAAATTTTGTCGAATGATAACTTGCAGAATAAGTTTGAATCTGATTGTGTTGTGTCGATGTGTGTAAGTGCGTGTGAGTGCATAAAGTGGTTGGTTTACATGGACGCTCGAATTGATTATGAACGTTGATTGTTAATTGTAGAACACCCAAAATACTTTAAAGATGAATAGAAACTAGCTCCGTGGTAATATCATAAAGATGATGGTAGCATTAATGTGGTATTTACCATTTTAACGACGGTTCAAAAACTGTTAGGCGAGTATCTAATTATATAATAGAATCAGCGGAAACTAAACCACGAGAGCAATTAAGTAACTCAGCTTTGTGTTTGGAATCGTCAACCATTCCGACAAGTCGGCTTATGACGAAACAAGGATCCGCTAAATTTATGTCTGAAATTCTAGTCCGAATTATGCAAAGTGAAGTGCCTTGACAAAATGACATCCATCGCTTGTAACATCCGCCCAAGAATGAGAGGTCCCTACCGATGTTCAGTACTTCAGAACGAGGACCCTTTGAATCAACAGAATAATAATGGACAAGCTTAAACAGAATACAATTTGATGGAACGTGGAATGTTTTTATCGCGATTTTCCCTATTTTCTGGGTGTTTGCCTTTAAAATTGTCTTGATGTTCTTTATTTAAGATTTTAAATTCACTGGAGATTTTTAAAATGGTTCCATTATAATTACATAAATATTTTGTTTCTCGTTTTGTTTTTATGTAATGGATTGCCTTATCTGTTATACTCTTGGAGAAAGTGTTGTGAACACGTACGGTGTGATACCACCACAGCCAACAAGCCCGAAGTACCAGAGCGGGCGATGACAATGTCAAAAAACTGCGGTCGTCTCTTAGCGCTAGCTGATACTATAGATGTAGGGTGTGTGTTCCCCACCTCTCAACATTAGTACTTACATATACTTAAATGGTTTTTATTTTGAACCATCGAAACAATAAACAGCGCGATTAATTAACACAGATGGTCTGACCCCAATCTACGTAGTTCTAGACGATAACGATTGCTCCAAGTCGTTACTAAGACACGAATTATGAAAACTTAATATGTAAGACTCAACTTAGATTAGTTTGGAACAAACACTATCACGTGAATCATAATGAGCTCAGAGACAGAAGTTTCGTGTGAAATTATTCAAGAAAGTTACACGGACGTAACACTAGAGAGGTGAGTTAGAGGCGCCGGGAAGAGTCCTTTATAGACGGCGTTCGTGTGTGTGTTATTACTCCTTCAAAACCTTTGTGAGACGACATTAAATTATAAAATATATATTGAATAAAAATATGTTTGCAAATGTCAATATAAAAATGAATATACCGATATTATACATGCAAAGATTGTGTGCAAGTCTACACGTGGCACAATAGCAAGCACTAAATGGAAGCATATATCAAGATATTGTACATTACTGGACTCTTTCATATGGAAAATAGACTGATCTAATACAATGATAGAAGGGAACTATGATGCAATACAAAAAACTGGTAATGTTGCAACTAGAAGTTTATAAAAGACCGAAAAGACAAGAATAAAATTGTAAACTGGAGTTATATTAATACCAGAGATAGTATAATAAAATGAAAAGACAAAGCTAATAAAGTGACTATATAATTTACACGCATATTTGACTTGGATCTCACGAAAGATGGCCTACAACACATCCTTCTATCAAGCCAAGATCGGTCGATGACTCAACCTTTCGTTAGCTTCAAGCCAAGACGCAAATCGCATTGGACCGTACACAGCGAAAAGTACTTGTATCGAAGTCCAAAATTTAGTTCAGTTAATGACTCAAAATGCTTGGTGATTTTTTATTTTTTTATTTATCGATAACAGAAAAAATCTACGCATCAGCTCCAATGTCGTGACTAGAGTTAACTCTTTAAGTTCAATTTCACAATACTGTATGCAGAATGAGGGAAATAAACCCATCTTTCATAATACTGAAAGCATGTATCTACTTTATTTATATTTAGTTACACTGAACCGCAAATATTATGAACCCTGCACTACATCCATTGTCAGGACGTTTGTTACAATGCTATGGTTGTTTTTTAGATATTCTACTGAGGTAGATGACGTTAGGGAATTTAAAATAGAGAAAAAATACTCTAAATTAAAGCAGTACGCTACAAAAATAGATTGGTATCGGGAAACACTTTCAATATTAGTCGAGAATCGATAATAAAACGCTAACTTCTAAGACGATTTATAAACAAAAACTCATGCAAAATAAAGGGGTAAAGGAACCGCTCCGGACATAGAAATAGAATCGATTTAATCTAAAATGAATATCGTACAAAAGTAATAGTTCAATGAACTCGCAACCGTAGGCTCTCATGACGGCTGAAATGATCACCTAGGTCTCGTCAGAGACTATGAACACATTGCCTGTTGTGTGAAATTATTAAATTTAAATATACTTAAATATGATTTAATATATTCGTAGATTTAATAACCGTTCCTTTGTCTTTTAATTCAAATTATTGAAACAAAACATAGAAAGTTTTATTTGTTTTTAATTGTAAGTTTTACAATTCTTACGAAGCTGCTGTGTTCCAGAGTGATTCCCTTACATCCTCATACAAATAGAGATACCAAAACGTTAATGCAATTCGTATGGCAGCATAGTTTAGTCTCGTGTCTGTTTCCTTAATATCGTATGGTCACTTCGTTGACAAATTTTGCATCATGCAAAATAGTACGTTCAAAACTTTTGGGATATCATGAAACAATATCCGTCTGGTTTTCTCACATGGTTCCCTTGATTCCCCCTAACACCTACACCTACAGCCCTAATCGTGTATGGAAGCTACTTCAAAGAAACTAATAGGATAATACTAGTTTTATTTAACTTTAAAATGTATCATAAGCTGCTGCTACATGAAATAATTTGTAATATTTGTTATTCAAGCTAAGCTGTTTTAAATTATTTCATAACGGCTTAGTAGTTGATAGTTTTTAGATCTTCTTCGTCGATTACTTTGTTTGAACTGTGAACTAAGAGTATAAGTTTGAATAATAAACAGGCTTACAAACAAACTCGCCAGGCTATTCAATAGTTTATATCCACTTAAGGTGTATGACTCTTGACATAATTTTATTATCAATTTCTCCTAACACATTTTCTGTAATTTTTGCATAATATTATTACTAAGCGCTTAAAATCAAAACCATCATATTTCGCTACTTACATTTTTAATTGGACAAGCCCAATTAGCCGCGAAAACAAATTCGTAATTTCGGCAGTAAAAAAAAACCTGACGAGGAAGATCCTAGTTTCCATGTAGCAGTAGCTAGCAGAGGTACAGTCCAATGTTATTCTATACCTGATTGCCATCATATGTCCAGCTACCAAACTTCATATCACAGTGTTGGTCGTCGAAGGGAAACCACGTGATATCTATCTTGCATGTGCTCTTGAAAATGCCCGGGGGCACGTACAGACAACTGCCGTTGTTTCTGACCACCACGTTCGTCTGGTATGTCCCGTCAAAACCCTCGTCAGCACTAGGTATCAAGGCAAACAATTTTTTGTTTGAACAAAAGAAAGTCTTTGAATAATATGTAAGAATTTGGAATTTAAATTTAACTCTTTTTCCGAGTAGTATTTTTGAATGATCTCTAATTGTTTTTTTTTTACAATAATTTAAAACAGTTTGAGCTATCCTGATCTCGACATTTCGAAATGCACGTTGAATGAGAATGAATAAAATCGCAACGGTTTCCTAACCTTCGGCAGAAGTCAGAGCGTTGGATTACTTGCTCCGGCAATACCCCAAAAACAAGAAATTACGCATTTAATTTGACATTACCAGAAAGCTGAAGTCATAGTGCTAATCTGAGTAGTTTTTATGTTTCGTTAAAATTCTATATTTTACAATTTTATATTTTTAACTTTTTAGCTTTTATCCGAACTAATTGACGCGAAAGCATAAGTGAGGACGAGTCAGTTTTTATTTAGATCATACTGATTTATTATTTACACAACATTAAACGTAGATTTTAATTATTTAATGTCTACATCGAAAAGCATATTTAATAAAAAGTAAAGCTCTTATTTTATATGGAAGTTACTTTTCGTTTATTTAATTATTTTATTGTAGTGCTTCGGATTCATCTGGGACAGGTATAGTGAGCTGCCGATGATAAGGCAAGCCAAAATAAAAAACAAATCTTTATCAGCTTGTGATGTCATCGCCTCGCCCCATCAGACATGCATCATTTCGGTTTTTTCCAAAGAAAATAATGAAAAACTGAAATATTTGTGTTACAAGAGTGTAAAAAAAATAAGTTTGACAGGCGAGGCGATGACAAGTGGTGTTTCAAATCAGCGACTAGCGTGCCATATACGTTTTATATTTTTTATTATTTATTTATTTTTGCGGCAGCACGGAGTAGGACACGTTTTTCCGCGCGAACGATTGTTACTATGTTTTTTTATTCCAGATCATAACATCATGTGATTAATTAACGGAAAATCTCCTTAATGTTGAAGTCAATAAAACATAAAGTTAATTGTTAAATCTGACGTCACATATGACGTTATAATCCGGTCGAAGCACCAATCGTCACATTCGGGCCAATGTCCTACTGTGCTGTCACATCTTATTATTTTCTATTAATAATTAAGTGTATTTAATTTTAGTTAAAAATAAATAAAAATAAACCAAGAATTGAAATACTTACGAGGCTTTCAAAATTAAACATTTATTAAAGTTTCAAAAACTGAAATCAGTAATTGTTACTCTTTTATCTATACTAATATTATAAAGAGGAAAGATTTGTTTGTTTGTTTGTTTCGAATAGGCTCCGAAACTACTGGACCGATTTGAAAAATTATTTTTCCATTAGAAGCCGACATTGTCCCTGATGAACATAGGCTACTTTTTTTAATTTTTTTGTTTGTTTCATGTGTATTTTAATGTTTCCGAAGCGAAGCGAGGGCGGGTCGCTAGTATAAATATATATGTGATAGTCGAAAACTTAAATAAAAAATTATTAAATATTGACTAGGCCATATAAAAGATTAAGATAATAAAATACATATTTGTACAATTTCTAAAAATAATAATAATATCGTTTGCGTAAATATAACAAAACACTTTCTTTAAAACCAAAAAATATTCCAAACGATATTTCATGCAGTAATAGCTTTATACTATTGTATTTTATTAACTGTTGCTGGCACGTGTGTTACAAATCACACAAATCTGGTGCAACACCCCTACAGGCTGCCAATCTTGAACATTCGTGAACACACTTCATGCGCATATTGTCAGAAGCACGGAATACATTCTACTGTAATAATAATACTTCCAGCTTCCGTCTCGGCTAATTAGCATGGATTATAGTATATCTGTGGCAAGAGCAATTATGCAATACTTCAATTACGAAAAATTAATAACAGGAAACGTAGAAGATATAAACTGTAATTATATAAACTGTAAAAATAATTACGAAGTAAATACGATTAAAACATAGAAAATTAAAGTTTTCAGCTAACATGTCTAAAATTTTTTTTTATTGCTTTGATGGGTGGACGAGCTCGATTTAGAAAGAAGGCCGTTTATTTCTCTTGGTATATAATTAAACACCCATTGCCAAGTACGACCCACCCACGAAACACCCATGCTAAGATTAGTGTTGCCACATGTTAGTGTGTTGTTGCCATACTAGAAACAATTATATATAAATATAAATATAAATATATAAATATAATTGTTTGAGTATGTGTAGACATCAATGACGTCACCAAAAAAAACGAATCAAACTTGAACTGAACAACAACCAACTAAATTTTGGGATAATTTTTTTTTTACTTCGAATTTTCATTTTCTGTTACCAGTTTTTTTTTTTATTGCTTAGATGGGTGGACGAACTCACAGCCCACCTGGTGTTACGTGGTTACTGGATCCCATAGACATCTACAACGTAAATGCGCCACCCACCTTGAGATATAAGTTCTAAAATCTCAGTATAGCATTTTCAGTAATAGAAAATAGCATCGTGAGCGACGATCAGAAGACAAGTAAAGTTAAAAAACATTTTGTCTAAAGATCCGTCCGAAAAATGTCCGCCTGGGACGTTCGGTGGCTTTTGAATCAACAGAAACTGGAGTAAGCCGCTTTGTACCGGTTAAATCCGATGTTAGAACACTCTAGAACAATACAGCAATGGTATGAAATAAAGATTTAACCAATTTACAAAGAAATTATTCTTGGATTTAAGTTCGAACTGTTCAAAGTTCTAAAATTGGTACGCTGTTTCTGTTAAACCCGCGCTGATACCATCACTTTCATTGACACATTCTTTGTTATTATGTAGGCAAGGCGTGGGTGAGCGCTACTTGATGTTAAGTAGTTACTGGAAACCATGGACATCACAACATGAAGTTCTTGAAGCATTACTTGGGAGTCCTTTGAGTTAATGGGAATCCTTCTCCGATAGCTATGATATGTCTCTCTTCAAACGAGGTATACGGAGACCATTCAGCAGTAGGCAGCGACTTGACTGCGATCCTGGCATTGTTGGCGTCCATCGACGACGGAAACCACTCACCATTCGGTGGGCCGTATGCTCACATCGCTGCTGATATTTAGTGATCACTGGCGCTCATGAAAATTATAACGTGAATGCCGCCACCCACTTTGATATATGTGTGTCTCAATTGTATTGTAGAACTTCTGCCCCAAGCATTAAACAAGCACTAGTAACTGCTTCGCGGCAAAATAAAAAGTCTCGTGGTAGTCACCTGCGCTAGCCGCATTACTTACTTACGACCAGTATTTAAAAATCATCATCATTTTCCTGCCCTTCTCCCAGTCACCTGGGGTCGGTACAACGTGTTTTCTCTTTCCATACTCCTATATCATAATAATATACCATTTCTTCGCTCACTCCCCTCTTACACATATCGTCTTTCACGCAATCCATCCATTTCTTCTTAGGTCTAGCTTTTCCTCTAAAGCCTTCCACTATCATAGTTAAATCTTTCTTGATAACCTCATAGTCGTTTCGTCTCAACTTCTCTGTCACAGGTGCCACTTTCAGACTTCCTCTAAGTATTTAAAAATATTATGCGCTAAATTTTATTACAAAACTTTAATCCTTCATTGTGGAAGTCATTCACGAGTTACATATTATATGTAATATATGTATTTTTCATATCATGTCATTAGCTACATAATTTATACACAGCACACCTCTTGCCTGGGGCATTTGAACACCGACATAGCCGTACCGCTCCATACGATGTATACACATGAGGCGTTTTATTTTATAACCTCAGAAAATTTCCATAGAAGAATATTTGAACCGTATCGTTATATACCAAGTTACATAAACGTTATATAAACTAAGAATTAATAAACGATTCCTAAACATCTGAGGATATTTACAATAAAATCTAAATTCAATAATGAACTGAAAGAATGCGATAAAAAGAAATGAATACAGAACACAGCCCTACTTCTACTGAGTGGCTACTGAGGTAAATAATTTTATATTTGGCATTACATTAATTCAAATAGAATTCTATCAGAAAAAAATGATATTTTCCGCAAAATATCATTAAGAATCTTGACAATTTACAATGCCTAATTATGTCCAATTAATTGTATGAGGAAAAGATCTGATTAACATAAGCAACGTCTCTTCTTTAAAGAAGAATCACTCTACAGGCGCTCCTAAATAATTCACCTCGCTTCCCAACATAAACCATTTCACTCATTAAATAATTTCCTCCTACGCCCAAACCGAATAAAATCACTAAAAAAATCACTCGGAATCGTTCCATTCACACTTTTTATTTCGGCACCAAATAAAATAGGCCCGAAACAGCCCGAAATCGGCTCTCTGAGAATACTTTGGGACCAAAGTATTGTTGCGATATAGTATTCATGACCGGCCGCCTCTGTGACTACAGGACTGGCAGACGGCCAACGAAGCCGCATTACGACTTGTCACTCCGTCGGGCGAAGTCAAACAACGGATTGAAGGGTGTGAAAGCTATCAATATTCGTGCTAAGGGAATTACGGTTTTGTTTTGGACGCGGTTTTCGAATCCACACCGATTGTTTTTTGTGTGCGATCGAAAATGCTTTCTATGGATTTTTTTTACTCGCGTCTGTTTAGCGTGTTAAGGGTAAGTTTTGGTGCGCATCGGAACTTTAACAAAATTTAATGCAATTCATACGAATACAGAAAAAAACTAGTGATTGTTTTTTTGTGCTTTTACATGAAGCTCTTTATCTTATACCTTTAAACGAGCAATTCTTGTATATTAATATATATGTATATAATCTGAATCTCGGAAACGGCTCTAACGATTTTCATAAAATTTAGTATACAGGGGATTTCGGGGGCGACAAATCGATCTAGCTACGATTTATTTTCAGAAAATGTTGTTTTATTCGTGTTTTCAATAATCAACTCTTCCCGACATCTGTTGGCGAATAATAATACAATTTTTCTTAATTGAGGGCAACTAACCGCTTTAAAGCCACAACAAGATGGCGTTATCAAAAAAAAAACCGGTCATCATCTAGTTTTTCAAAACCCAGAAGATCTTATAACCGAATGCACTTCGATTTGGCTATTTTAGTAACCAACTTGCACAATTACATAAATTTAATAGAGTGCTACTGAAGTGAAAAAGATATTTTGCAGTATTAGTTCAAAATGTAGCTCTTAGGAAAAAAACTTCAGGGGATATTAATGATAACCT